TTCGTCATGTGCCCCGCCCCCTGCACCTCACCCAGGGGAACTGCGTTCTCCCGCATTCCCCCCCGAAATGACCTCTGCCGGTTAAACTCTCACATATGTCTGCATCGATCTCCCCTCTCTGTTGGAAACTCTGCGGGGAGAAAGCGACTTACTATCATACATGGTGGTCATGTAGATTCATTTCTAAATTTTGGTCTCAAGTTCGATCTCAAATTTTGATTCTTACTGGTTGTGATGTTCCTTTAGATCCTCGATTGATGTTACTAAATCTATGGCCAGAGAGTGCAATTCCTAACAAACAGAGAAAATTGATTAATATACTCCTTACAGCTGCGAAAAACAGCATTGCCAAAAAATGGAAAGATAAATGTCCTCTGACAATTAATTTATGGTTATCTAAAGTTTGGGAATATTTTATGTTTGAAACTGTTTCAATCTTCAATACAAATGATCAAAATGAATGTGAACTGCTAAACCCAACCGGTAAACTGCTAAACCCAACCTACTTACAAATATCTTGCCTTATCTAGCATAAATTTTTGTGGATCAAATGATGCTTGGTAAGAACCTGAAAACATTTAGCCCTGACATGACATCTGTAGCCCATCTACAGATATAAACAATTTTCTAATTGGACTGAATCCTATGGTAGCATACGTGGAAAGAACTTGTGGAGGGGGAACTTCTCACTTCGATTTCCTCAGCTAAGAGTTGGTCTGCACTTCTAAAGAAAATGCAGAGTGGTATGAGGGGTCTGAAATGAAGAAGAGGACTCGGGCAAAAAATGCCTCACAGTGGTAGAGGAAGAATGGCAGAGTAAGCTTCCCATTTCTATGAAAGGGAGGCAGGCAATTTTGTTCCATTTTCTCTCCTCACGGCAAACCCCCCCCCCCATTGCCACAGTGCATTTTGTTTATGAGGGTCTTTCATGGGGGACGGGGAAGGAAAACAAAGATCAAGTTCTTCTTCCTTGTACTACAGTAGGATACAGCATGTTATGTCCAGATGATATTCATGGAAAATAAGTCATGGAAAATAAGTCTGACAAAACACTAATTAACACATCTATAAATAAAATTGCCTTTCTAATTAGTAGTGTCATTGAAGTGTTAAGGTTTGAGGGGACTCAAAGTTCCTGGAAAATATAGAGCTTATTCCATTTACAATTCAGTGGCAAGATTTTAAGAGGCTGTACCCAAAACATTAACAGAGATCCCAATAAAAGGTCTGTGAAGTTTGTATCCCTGTCCACTCTCTTGCAGCAGCATTCCTTCTATAAGGTATTTGATAGATGCCTGCTCACTTAAGTGGGCATTTTCTTTTTTTATAACCTCACATAAGAGAAATGTATCCATTAAAGCAGAAACAATGGCTTGACTGAACATCTAGAACTCTTTCTGCAAAAGCAAACTTGCTAAAAATAAACCAATGCCATGCATTATCTATGCAATTTTCTAATTTAGCATATTTTGAAAATGTACCAAGTATACCAATGTCCGTTGATTCTTTGGTCCATAATCCAAGGCAATTATGTGTGCTCTCCTCTAATAACGCAGCTTCAGGGAACATTTTTTGGCTAGCCTCAAAGAAGGGTAATAGCCTAACATTTCTTTACAAGTTCTCTTTGCGCTTGAGGATGGTTGTGGCTTTGGTAAAGAACATCCTTCTTTTGCTTCCTGCTTACCAATACAATCACAGCACAGAAGGTGGCTATGGGCCAAAATGCTGCCACAGACACCCATTTTCGGGCCAATTTGTCATTTAGTACACTTATACTTTGTTATACAGGCAAGGAGCTCATGGCAACATACAGGAGATTATTCCATTTCGTCCTCACAGCTCCCCTGCTGCAGTGCAATCCTAGCTGAGTTCCTCCCATCTTTTGCCAGGGTTTTTGGTCTTTGTGGCCTTCCTAGTCCCTCAGAGGGAGGGCTACTCTTTGACATCTGAACTCCTTAACAGGAGTGTATAGAAATATTGCTTCTATATTCACATGCCTTCTCCTGTGATGTCTTTTGATAATATGGTTAATGGAGAATTTCCCTCAGTTTGGTATAGTGGTTAAGAGCTGCAGTCTCTAATCTGGAGAACTGGGTTTGATTCCCCACTACTCCACATAAAGCCAACTGGGTGATCTTGGGTCAATCACAGCTCTCTCAGAACTCTCTCAGCTCCACCGACCTTACAGGGGCTGCGTTCACATGGCAATTTGATCTGTTCCCCTTGCTGTTACCTTATGGATTTAAAGTGCACGATCAGACAGCAACAGCTGTCTGTCGTGCCTGAGTTCCATTCCCCCCTCCCCTTGCCCCGTGTTTTTTTGATACCTGATAAAGTCCGGTCCTGTTGGTCTGAGCCGCTTCAAAAATGGATTTCCTGTCGTCTAGTCACTCTGTTGTACAGCCAAGCAGTCAGGCAGGTCTCACTGAACTCTTGCTTTCTGGCCACCCCACCCCCCAACCCCCCCGTTAGTGAGGATCGCATTACTGTATATATACACCTCTCCCCTCCCAGGGGGGGGGGCTGCTCAAAACCTTGTTTTCTTTTGAAAAACTCGCAAAGAAAGACACCCCTTTTTCCGCAGCTTTTTAACATCGTTTGGGGAAGGGGTAAATGGAAAAGATTAGAGGGAGAACGGCAGTGGACTCCATTTCCCAGCAGTCTCTTCACCACTTGTGCAATTGCTCTGTGAGAAGAAGAGGGAAGAGGAGATATTGGATTTATACCCCGCCCTTCACTACCCAAAGGTGTCTCAGAGCGGCTCACAAACTCCTTTCCCTTCCCCTCCACACAACAGACACCCTGTGAGGTAGGTGGGGCTGAGAGAGCTCTTGACAGAAACTGCTCTTTTTCAAGAACAGCTCTTATCAGAACTACAGCTTGCCCAAGGTCATCCAGCCAGGTGCAAGTGGAGGAGTGGGGAATCAAAACCGGCTCTCCTAGATTAGAGTCCGCGCACTCAACCACTACACCAAACTGGCTCTCTGTGGACTTAATTTTAAAAGAAAATGGCGGACAGCCCCATGAACTCCATATCCCAGTATGCCGAGTGCTTCTGGGCATGCTCCTAAGGGCAAACTTCTAAAAAAATGGCTGACAGGCAGACTCCCTGCTTTCTGCCGTCTGGTCATGCAAGGAGGGGTAAAACGGCATTGAAGCGTGCTAAAACGGGTGAGTCTGGTCAGGATTCTCTGCCACAAAATAACCTGTCTTAATTTGAGGCGGGGCAACAGTGGATTAAACTGCCTGTGTGAATGCAGCCAGGGTGTCTGTTATGGGGAGAGAAAGGGAAGGCGATCTTAAAATGCTCTGAGACTCCTTCAGGTAGTGAAGGGCAGGGTATAAAACCAATTCTTCTTCTTCCTCCTAGTCCCCCTTTTTTATCCTAGCATTCCCATGGGAAATTCAGGCCTCAGGATTCATTTTGTCCATTCTGGAGGGAAAATTGTAACCAATCCTGAGGAAGGCAGCAGGGATCTGCAGAAACTTATAAAACCCTCTTTCCTAAGACCTCAGTGTGCATTTTCTTGGAGGTACTCAGCAAGGTAGTTACTGTGGATAGGAAACACTGCACTCACACAGGTGGCATGGATTGTCATGATTTGGGGTTGGGACTAAAGAAATAGGAGAACTAAGGGATTGTTCAGGGTGGTTGCATTAGGGAATTATTTGTCATTTTCTTGCCTGACTTCCCTTTAATCTGTTATCCCAGGAGGGTATTTTCTGGGACTGAAGTTCAGGCCAAATATTCAGTGTTTTTTTTAAAAACTGCAAGTTCTTAATAGCTGTTTGTACTTCCTTGCTAACTCTGCCAGGGTTCTCATGTCTCAGGCTCGGTTTCATGTCCAGATAACAACTCCCTTGTGCAAGAAAATGCTGCTCAGAGAATCAGAAGACAAAATGGGGTAATCTAAGCCATCTCCTAGTTACAGTAAAATCCAAAACCAGATTGGTGACAGCAAATCCCTGATTTACTCTGAGGATTAACAGAACAGGCAGAAGAGAGGGGTGAGAAGTTCAGATTTGTCAGAATCCCAGGAAGGAGGGCCTTAGTTTCATCCCCTCTTCAGATTACCCACTTCATTTTGGGAAATTCCTAGAGATTTGGGGGGGGGGGGTGGCCTGGGGAGTAGGGATCAACAACAAACCCCCACAAATGTTCTGGAGGAAGCAGAATCAGTGTTGTGATTTGATTACTACTCTCTGTGAGGCACAACTATACAATCTTTAAATGTTCTTACTTTCCCCTCAGTATTTTTCAAAAGTCCCAAGAATTGTACAGCACTTCTGCATTAGGATTTCTGAAAGATATGCGGTGTGGGGCGGTGCAAATTGGTATAAAACCAAGATACATTTGTAGTGTAGATATGATTTTAGAAGTAATATTGATTTTTCTTGTTCTTTTTCACCCTCCAACATTACCTATAAGCCTAGGTTCAAAAGAGAATGGTTGCTTAATATTTCTAACAAAGGTGGTTACTCAGAGCTATGACTTCCATTTTTAGCCACCTTCACACAGTGAGTCCATGAGTAGAATTTTTCTGTGGAATGTAATTGGAGGCACACTTCAGTCTATGCTTAAAATAACTCTGTTTACATCAAAAGTTTTTAACTAATTTAATTGCAGAATGAGCTTTCATGAGCCACTGCCAACTTAGTCAGATCCATCGGTTCTTAAGATCCCGCAAGACTCTTTGGTGCAATAGACTACCACAGCAGTTCCTCTGGTATCCACTAAAAATAGCACTTTACAGCCAATATCCATGTATAAATGGGGAACAGGCGTGTGCATACTGCCCCCCCACTTACATGCAATTGATGGCTTTACAGCATGGGAGTCTACATGCTGTGGTGCTTATAGTGCTGCACTGGGATCTGGGAGACCTAGGTCTGAATCCTCACTCTGCCATGGAGCTTGCTGGGTGAGCCAATCACTCTCTGTCAGCCACAGCTAACTTAAAGGGTGGTTGTTGTAAGGATAAAATAGAGGAAAGGAGAACAGTTTTGGAAGCAGCTTTGGGTCCTCAGTGGGAAGAAAAGCAGGTTATAAACATCTAAATAAACAAATAAAAAGTATATGAGTGAGGGCCCGCTCCCCTTTGGCACAAATGTTTTAATAAGCTGATCAAGGGAATATAGCCTATGCATGTAGACACCATAATCATGAGCTGGCAATCATGCAAAGGTGGTAGTTAGGCCACCTCGTGCCCACTCCCCTTCTACATACATTGATTTTAATGTGCATAACATCATCTGTAGTGGGCTATTGTCTCCTGCCCTCCCTTTTAAGAAGAAGAAGAGATTGGATTTATACCCCGCCCTTCACTACCCAAAGGTGTCTCAGAGCGGCTTACAAACTCCTTTCCCTTCCCCTCCCCACAACAGACACCCTGTGAGGTAGGTAGGGCTGAGAGAGCTCTGACAGAAACTGCTCTTTTTTCAAGAACAGCTCTTATCAGAGCTACGGCTTGCCCAAGGTCATCAAGTGGAGGAGTGGGGAATCAAACCTGGTTCTCCCAGATTAGAGTCCGCGCACTTAAACACGACACCAAACTGGCTCTAGTTTGCCTAGTCTCTGTGCCAGCACTTTGCTTTCTGGTCACCAATAATGTTTCAGAGAATTCCCTGTGCCTGTCATCTGCAACTTGGTGTGCATCAGGGAATCCTAGAGCACAAGTTTACTCCCTTTAAGAGATGATACTATTGGCCATTCCATCTGAGGGCCTCTCTACTCCAAGGCGCATAGGAAAACAGATGGAAAATTAAACCATGCTGTTAGATAGCAGTCACTGTTCATTGCCCCCCACAACACTCACACACAGAGCATGCCCCAGAATACAGTGTGTTGACATATACCATATATCCTGTATCCCAACAAGGGTCAGTTTCACAGATTATATTGGGGGTGGGGGACAGTTAATGTATCTAGGACAAGTCACACTGTTGTTCACATTCTCAGTCATTGTCCTTTCATTACATCAACACCTCCCAAATATCAGTCTGAGTCATATGCTATGTTTGTACAGTGAGTCTGGGGAAAAACTGCACTTCTATATATATAAAAGAAAGTCCCCTCACCGTAAATCAATGTCCAGGCCAAACCGCTGGACCTAGAAACATGAAATTCGGGGAGAGTGCTCCTACCATGGCGTAGATGCTCACTGAGAAGCAATTTTTAGAAATTCGACCCCTAAAGGAGTCAAAAGGGGTAAAATATGCTCCCCCCCATTGATTCCTATGTGGTTTCCAGCGCCTCCCTGCACCCCTCCCTCTCTGATTGGTCAGCTACAGAGATCAGTGTTCTGAGGTAAAAAAAAAAAGTTACAGAGGACTACAGAGAGCTAATGGCAGTTGAGGAAATCAGGAGTGGCCAACCGCCTGTGAGGTGAAGCAAAGCTACTGGCCCAGCCTCCCTATAGCTTCCCAGCAGGATCACCTTAGTGATGCTGCTGGCCCAGCCTCTCTGATGGCTTCCAACACACTCCCCCCACCTCCTACACCTAACAGGTGGTAGTCTGTCAGGTGCAGCAGCGGTTGCAGGGTTCTTAAAGCCATTAGGGAGCTTGCCCCAGCAGTCTACAGAGAGGTCCTTCAGTAGAGAAAAAAAGTACATATGTCTCACTTCAGTTTTTACACTACAATTTTCTCCATTAGAATTCCTACAACAAATGTTACATTTCAAACTTTACATCATCAATATTATAACTGGATTTATGGAAGTTAAATACCATAGAGAAGCACGGGTATCAGGCTACTCTCATAGAAAATAGATATCTGTCTCCAAGTACTCACCTCTTCATCCTGCCACTTGTGCCCCCCCCTTCAGAATGCTGGCTAAAGTACCTCCTGTGACTATGTCTAAGCTCATTGTCACCCCTGCTCTCTTCTTTTATGGCAGACCTCCCCAGACTGCAACAGTCACTTCCCCCTATGCACTGGCAGAAGAAAATGATTGAACACAGGAGAGATTCACAGCTATTCAATAGACGCATCCACCATTCTATAGTTATCAGAAGGAGGGGAAATTCATTGGGGTATATGATACTGCTGATAAGCCCACGGGAGTCCCATGTGCACCAGTATTGCCCAGAATGTATACCATTCCTGAGCCCTACTGATGAAGAAAAGAGAAGGATGCCAGGAAGCAGCATTAAATGGTCCATCCCATGGTTGGTAACTTGGAAGATGCAACTTGGAAGATGCATCTACCCTTAATGAATGTTAGGATTAGACATGCATGAGCAATGCATGTTGGGGAGGGAGGACACAATAATCTGTACATATTAATGACCTGACCTTGTGGGGAAACTGATTTCCCTACTGCACAGGTGCAAAAGCAGCTTAATGAGACTTATATACCAAAGTAGCCTGGGTCAGTGTTTGAGTCAGGCAGTGAACAATAAGAACAGGATGAGTTATTCAGAAGCTCAGAGACTTGAGTGTAGGGCTTGGAGGCCGAACACAGCATGTTTGCCTGTGGCAACTGTATTCTCTGCAAAGTTCTCAGTATGCCTTACTGATATGATGCCTCCTGTGCACTTCCTCTCAGAGGCAAGATTTTATCTCCGTTTACTTGTCTGACTGAGCCACTCTAGTAATGTGTTTTCTTCTTTCCTGAGGAATTCTGGCTGTCCCACTCTGTCACAGTATAATATTTTGGCTGTCTGCACTGCAGTGCAGAACCTGAGGGAAGGACTGAGAGCCCCCTTTAACTTAAATAGCACTCGAGACATTTTTGCATTTCCAATTGTTTAACATAGAGGGGAAAGGTCAGGTGAAATTAGGGATAAAATTTCTTAGGTAAGACAATGTAATTAAAACTGAATATATTTCAATATAACTAAAATTAACTAACTAAATTAAATTAACTAACTAAAAACTCAATATAACTAAAATTTCTGAGGTAAAACCAGTACATGCACAGACTTTAGTTCTTATGTTTCAGGCTAAAGGGAGTTTCTTAAGCTTTTCACAGTGACTTGAGTCTTTATGTTGAGACGCTTTTGTTCCAGTGTTTCCCCCAAACACTCTAGTACAGTTTATTTGAGTATTCTCTGACACTTTTGGTTTCCAGAAGGCTAGTACAGTCTTTCTAGTACCAAAACCCATTCTTTTGAAATACCAGTACTCATAATGAGTTTTTAACTGACACTTAAGGCCTCTAAAGGCAGTTTCTAACCACACCAGACTAAGGATCTCTCCATTCTTCAGAGTTAACTCCCTGTTTGACTGGGTAGGGAAATTCTCCTCTCACTAGAAGATCTATCCCCTTTCTTCGGCCCAAAAGGGGGTCTCCATCTAACTACCCACTAGTCCTTGCCAACTTTTCCCAGTTCTCCTGTCTGTGTTAAACTGTTCTCAGTCAGGGCTGAATTCTCCTCCGCTCAGCTGATGCTAACCAGTCAAATTGCTTGGAGCAGCCTGTCACTCACGGTGCTCTGTTTCTGTGAAGAATTCACCCTTCACAGTCCTTTAGCTGTTTGTAAAGCCCTTCTACACTTTTAAAAAGTACAGTCCGTCACAGGAGATTATTGTTTGCTTCCATCAAGAATCAGAACTACAATGACTCTATCACTTACATTATGCAAGGGAGAAACCATGGCAATAGAGACTGTCAAACTTCCAGTTATGTGGTATACCCTTCCTGCCCCCACACTGACAGCCAGATAGATCTGAAGTTCAGAAACAAAGACTGACAGTAACTATTTATGGCCTGACAATCTCAGGGTTGTATCTTATCACTGGATCCACTCAGGTTTTGAGTCCAAAGGGTGCTATTCTCATCTCCCTTTGATTATACTCCACTTTAGAAAATACACAGAAAAAAAGATTCCCCCCCCCAGGGGACACTGATGGTAGCTTAATTGTCTGTGAATAATTGTAGGCACTTTTGTTCTCTTTCTTTCTCCCCCTCAAACTGCATTGTTTATTGTATTATTACATTGTTTTTTATTTCATTGTCTCTTACTCTACAATCCAGTTTTATTGCATGGTTTATTGTAAGATTTTACTGGTCTTTATTGCATTGAAATCCACCCTGAGTCTCAGTAAGAAGAGGAGGGGGAAAGGAGGAGGTTGGATTTATATCCCGCCCTTCACTCGGAGTCTTAGAGTGACTTACAAACTCCTTTCCCTTCCCCTCCCCACAACAGACACCCTGTGAGGTAGGTGGGGCTGAGAGAACTCTTTCAAGGACAGCTCTTGTCAGAACTATGACTTGCCCAAGGTCATCCAGCTGCCAGTGGTAGAGTGGAGAATCAAACCCGGTTCTCCCATATTAGAGTCTGCACACTTAACGACTACACTATACCAGATGATAAATGAAATAAATAAATGAGCACCAAAGAACCACAACCCATATTCTCTTCAGCGTGGTTTAAGGTAGCTGAAAATTAAACTATTGGTGACTGGAGTGTGTTTGTGTGTGTGTGTGAGAGAGAGAGAGAGAGAACGAGAATGAGAACAAACAGGTTTTGTACATCATCATAGAGAAATGCAGATCTGAAAGTTAGACTGAACACTGAAGACTCCCTTTCCCTGATTCAAAGCTCCTGGTAGTTTTACAGTCTCTCTGCACAAATCAGGATCTGCAGATGGGGACAATTACACACTTCTCTCTTAAGTGTCTGCAGTTTCATCATTTCAACAGTAGAGGTCACTGTGCAGCAAGCAGCCTGACCTGTTGCTGCAATAACTCCCCATTATTGGGGGGGGGGGGAGAATGCAAGCTTAAAAATAGAAACTGCCAGTTACTTTGAGATGCTTTTCACCGATGAGAAAAGCTTTTATCTGTTTTATTTTTTATTAAAGGAACTCGCATCCCAAGGAAAAGAAAACATGCTCTTCCTTCTCTAAAGTCCCGATAGTTATTATTGCAACACTGAACACAACCATGCTGACACAGAAATGCACTAAAAGCACATTGGAAATATAGGTCACTGAATGGCATAGTGCTAAATGCAACAGAGGGTCATCTTGCCTTAGTTTCCTCCAACTGCAGAGGAGGAGAGGAGA